AAAGTGAACTCAGCATAAAGTTATCAGTTACCAAAACGTTCAGGTAAAGTTTGGTAGCACACCAGGGCAGCCATTCCAGTCCACCTTTTGTTCTCTTCAGCTCCACATACTTTATATAATAAATTATGGAAACTCTTCCTCACAGATTCATGTTGTTCATATTTCCTAAGATAACTTGCAACAGGAATAGACTTCAACCTCACCTCCATCGATGATCTTGCAGCTGTACCTGAAATCAACCTTTTTTTTTTTTTTTTTTTACCAAGTCTAGATTCACTTTAACCAGCATCTTCCCTGTCTTAGGAATTATGTGGTGTGTTGACCCAGAAGTTCTTCCCAATGGGACCTGAACTCCTGGTCATCATGCCCCTTTCAGCCTCCTGCACTGATGCATTCACATCAAACCTGGGTGAGGAAATACCACGTGATATCTCAGAGGATCACGCAGGTGCCAAGCACGTGTTTTCTGTCCTTGCATAACGACATCCCTGCCTGCTCTGATGATCAAGATCAATTACTCCTGCTGAGATAATGACACATTTAATTGATTTTTAGCTTAAAGTTTAAAAGGGCTCTTGCTGCATGTACTGGTGGAAGTCTTCTCCCTCAGGAAACTCAGATTGCTAAAGGTAAAAAAGGAGAAATAAGCAAAAATCCTGTAAATTGATCATTAAAAATAAGAGTAAACAGGTTGAATTTTGCTTCCAAACCTCAGTTCTCAAATCCATTTTTCTACTTTTTTGACACCATGGTATCAAATGAAGGTTGTTGATTTTAAGAATAATTGTATCCTGGAGGATAGCACTCTAACCTAGCAAGGTATTATCTGCAAGTTGGCATATTAGTTGCACTTTCCAAGTTGGTAAATTTACATTTTATACACAAATCCTCAAAAATAATGGTGCAGGTTAGGCCCTGCCAGCAGAAACAGCACCTAGAATAAATTTTGATTCCAGTTGGGAAGAATTGTGTCATCTTCTAGTGTGGGGGGACTCCATTGCAATTAACTTGCCACCAAGAGGCCAGGTGATCTCTTCACGCATCATGCCATTTCAGGGATTCATTATTGAACTTTGTGCTCGAAGTAGCACCATCTAGGTCTAAAGCTAGCCTCATGCTGGACTGGACCCTGCTCCAACATGGAAAGGAAACTCTGGACACTGGGTCTGATTTTAGCTCTACTGAAACCCCAGCTACACTTCTTCTCTGACTGGATTAAGGGAAGTGGCACTTTGGAAACCCAGGGATGGAATTCCATGAAAATTAAACTTTCTACCATATCTCATCCTCCATGGGGGCCTCCAGAAATGCTATTCCAGCGGTACCCCAAGAACCACACTCCACAAGCAACCGGGGAAGATGAGACAAAATGTCTGACATTTGTCCGATGTTACTCTATTTGTTTAATACATTGTCAGTGGTGCATGCTTTTTGTTGGCCATCGTCTTGCACTATGAATATCATATAGTAAACCTATTCCCATAGGTCCATTGACATACATATTCCCAAGACATCTTTGACCCTGATCTGGTGATCTCATTTTTGATTGTTGTTTTGCTTTGTTTTGTTTTCATACTTTCTACAAACCTGCTACGCCATCTGCAACTGCCCATGAGTCTGTATCTATTCTTTTACTGGCCTGTTCTTTTTTCCACATAATATGAATGACTTACACTTTGCTTGTTGGGAGGATTTCTTCTCTCTTTTAACTCTCAGGGCTATGCCAGCATGTGGCTCCAATGAAGCAGCATTGGGCTATTATTGGAGGGTGACCAAATACTCAGTCTAATCAACCAAAAGTCTGAGAAAGATAGAAATTACCAAAACCAATTCAAGAAGAAAGTACAACTTAGAATAACATATTGGTAAAAGAAAGTTAATTTGGAATTAAAATCTTATCCAAAACATTAGTGCCTCCTACCCCAAGAAAGGAACAACAAAAACAGGAGACCAGCCAGATAGCTTCCCTGATAAATGTTATCAAATATTGGCAAAGCAGTCAAAGAAACCTAGATTCATGGGGAGAGGCATAAACCCCTCTCTCAAGCTGAAGGGGTCAAACAACTTTAAGGCCATGTTAAAAATTTCTACAGTGTGACTGCAACAAAATTAAATCTACTTCTGAAAGTATTCTGGGCAGATGTCATCATGTTAGAAAGGCACACATAATTTGATGTAATATATTCAGATCATGAGGAGTTTTCTTTGATTTTTAAACTTACATTGTGCTCTGGTACATTGAACAATCTAACCACTCAGGGTAGAGACATATATCAAGAAAGACACTTACAGAAATCCTACATGCCAGCAAAGCTCAAATAATACATTGAGCTATATTCCAGTTTAATTTTAAATGCCCTTTCTTTGTTAAATTCTCATAGAGATATCTAAGTCAATGTGAAATTTTCTCCTATTTTTGGCAAAATCCCAACTAAATTAAAGTACATAACTTTGCATCTTCATGTTTGTGTTTTTCTGACGCTCTGCAAATGGAACTCAGCCATTTTCCCTTGAGAAAAGGAGGGGTGGATCTGGATTTCTTCTTTGACAGTCTTGACAGTCAAAGCTTCTCCAAGAACTCTGAGACTAAATAGAGTTGAATGGGTTTGCTGAAGATGCTATAAATTAAATCTTCTCATGTCCCAGTTTTCTCAAGACTCAAACAATAAATAGGACAACTAAGAATAGCACCTCATTAGGAAACAATTCAAACATAGCTGGCAATGCAGCATATTCTATCTTTCTTTGCTGTTGCTAGTCATATGCATGCTCCTATGTATGTATATGTGTGTGTATAGTACATATACATAAAATTTCCATATCATTTTCAAGTCTATGTCCTTTGGTCCAGTGTACATAACTGTGTATTTAAAATTAATTGAGAGGCTATAACAAAAAAGAATATCTTACCATTTGCAACAGCATAGAGGGACCTGGAGAGTATTATGCTGAACTAATAAGCCAGTCAGAGAAAGGTAAATATCATATGACTTCAGTCATATGTGGAATCTAATGAACAAAATAAAGTGATGAACAAAATAGATCCAGAGACATAGAAGCGTGGAACAGACTGAGGAACCTCAGAAGGAAGGCAGTGTGAGTTGGGGGATGGATGGGGAGAGATTAACCAAAGAGGGAACTTCTATGCATGTACACATAGCCCATGGACACAGACAATAGGTGGTGAAGGCCTGGGATAGCAGATGTCGGGTGGAAGGGGTCCATGGGAGAAAGGGGGGGCATCTGTGATACTTTCAACAATAAAGATACATTTTTAAAAGGTAATTGAAAGGAGATAAACTGACCCCCTTGAATCTGTAAAAGGAGGCTGAAAGAGAGCTAAAACATTGTCGCTCTGACTTGCATGTCAGTTATGGGATCTGAATGAGAGCTCTCCAGGAAAAAGGTTTTTAACTTGGCATGAAAAGAAAAGCAGGGTGTTTTAGTGACATCAGTGAGAAATAACAGTAGTTCTGAGGACGTGTCCCTCCACAGAATCAACCCTCATCCCCCCAAACAAAATGAGCAAAACTATTCAAAATCACCTTTGTCAGAACTTTGGAAAATAGTCAAAAGTTTACAGCAAGCAAGCAAGCACTGACTGGAGAATTAGTTGGTTAGAAATCCTAGGAAAGCTGTGCAGCATTTTTAGTTACTCGTGCTCCTGTCCTGCTCCCCATATTGGCCGCAATCTGAGGACAGCAGCCTGTTTCCCTGTGCGGGACCCTGTGTCTCCGGGTCCAGAGAGAGAGAGGGCAGACCTTGCTCTCTAGGACCTGAATCTGTTGGGTTGGACCAGTTTGGGGTCTGCCTGAAGGACTAAGCAAGGATTTGCATTTATTCCCCCTAACTTTTCAGCCTCTCAGGGTTAGAAAAGGAGTGAGGTACAGAGCATTCTTCAAAAACTGTGAAAGGCAAAGTAATCTGCTGCTGCCTGGGGCAAAGATTACAATGGAGACAAACAATCAATATTTTTGAAAACCTGGGAGGAAAAGCTGGGGGAAAGTATTTTGGGAGAATTAGAGCATTATATAATATCCCTCATGCACAACTCAGGAAAGGATGCATGCTAAAAACAACAAACAACCTTAGAAGACTTCATTTTCATCTATGGCTGATCTTAAAAGCTGGGGCAGGTTTATAAACAGCATGCGTGGCTAAGCACTGAAGAAGTGTTTCAACACAGAGCCAATCTACAAAGATAGAGTATTTGTATTTATTTTTTTGTTCCAGGCATTCAAGAAATCTCTATGCAAATGTTCTATCCATTTACATGGTCACAATGTAAAAAAAACACACAAATACAAAAATGCTTCAGAGACTTCATGTGACAAATGATAGTCTTTAAAAAATAGTATATGAAAGTTACTAAACCATGCAACAACTCCACCTCAAATGTAAAACACACACACACACACACACACATAACAAATTGCTGAGTAGGAGAAAGAATCTGATTTTCAGAGTTAGCAAATTATAGTATTTAAATATACAATATTTCAACAACAATAGCAAAATAAAGCTTTTGAAGAAACAAGAAAATGTGGCTTGTTACATTAAAAACTGTCCCTGAGGAAGCATAGACATGAACTGTCCTAGACAAGACTTTAAATCAACTGCCTCCTTCAAAAAGTTAGACAAAAAATATGTTGTCACTTCAAGAAGTTAAACAAAGCATTGTCATCATGTGACCCAGCCACTTCACTCCTAGGTATAAACCCAACAGAACTATAAATAAGTATTTGAATAAATACATGTACACAAATATCCATAGCATCACAATTTATAAAAGCCAAAATGTAGTAACAACCCAAATGTTCACCATCAGAAGATGGATAAACAAAATGGAACATATGCATAATGAGATCTGTCTTCCAAAAATTTCAAGTGCTAACACTTGCTACAACATGGATAAACCTTGAAAACATTATGCTAAGTGATAGAAACCAGGCACAAAGGCTCCATTATTATATGATTCCATTTAAATGAAATATCCAGAGTAGGTAAATTGATGAAGACATAAAGCAGGTTGGTAATTGCCGGAGGCAGGGTGGAGGGAGAAAATGAACTGACTTAAGGAATAGGAGTTTTCTTTTGGGGAGATGAAGAGATTTGGGAGTCTATGGAGATGGTATTTGCACAACATTCTGAATATACTAAGTACCACTGAATTGTAGTCTGTAACATGGTTAATTTTATGTTATGCAAATTTCACCTCCAAAAAAGAAATTTAAGAAAAAATGATGGGAGACCTCTGCTACAAACTAGGATATAGTACAGTGATGGCGAACCTTTTGAGCTCGGCGTGTCAGCCTTTTGAAAAACCCTAACTTAACTCTGGTGCCGTGTCACATATAGAAATTTTTTGACATTTGCAACCATAGTAAAACAAAGACTTATATTTTTGATATTTATTTTATATATTTAAATGCCATTTAACAAAGAAAAATCGACCAAAAAAATGAGTTCGCGTGTCGCCTCTGACACGCGTGTCATAGGTTCGCCATCACTTACAGTAGGTCATCCAGGGCTGATGCTTTGTTGCAAGAACTAGAAAAAGTCACAGACATGACAAGCAGTATGCACTGGGACTACCAGAGGTCTGTCGAAGTAAGGAGGACTGGCTGAATAAACACAGCCTACAAGGACTTTTCTGGATAGAGCTGACTATGGTGAGTCAATTTTTCTTAATCCGGGGATACATCAAATCTGGAAAGAGGCTGAAGAGAAAGTTTAGCCAAGGCAGAGGTCACTGTCAGGGGGAAGAAACCACAGATTTGTAAGCATGAGGAGGGCTGGAGGAAAAACTTGAGGGCTTCCGTACATATAGTCGGGGTGACCCATGGTCATTTCCTGAGCTGGGGAGCACAGCAGATACTGAAGAAAGGCCAGAGCTTCAAAAGGGCGAAATAAACCTTGCAGTCAGTCCTTAGGTGCCTGGAAAATAAAGGCTTGCTGGGGAGTGGTGCTCCCTGCAAGTTCATTTTTGTTTCTTTTGTTAGATATTTGGATTTTCCCTGGTGAGAGCTGAAAAGTGGAGTCATAGCTTAGGAATGCTAAGGATAACCTCATGGCCGAGGTTAAGGATAACGTTGTACTTTAAGTCGAAAGTGTGGAGGGTGACATTCTGAGAGAAGAGAGCACACCAGAGGTAGCTGGATTTTTACTGAGGCTGCAAGCCACCGGAACCCAGCTCCACGTCTGAAAGGACTGAGACAATCAGTCCTTCCAGCTGCCTGTCAGAGTCAAGGTCTTAGCCATTGTGATGATAAGAACTGGAAGAGAGGATTTAAAGCTGTCATTATGCACAGATTCTATGATTGTGTACTATGTATAGTCCAAAAGAATCTGAAGACAAATGATAGAAATCTGTAAGTGAATTGTCTACGGTTGCTGGCACAATGCCTGTATTCACAAAAACACATTTAAAAAATAAACCATGGGCTAAAAAATTTAAATGGAAATTAGAAAATATTTTTAAGTGACTATAGTGAAGATATTCATATAAAAATCATGAGCTAAAGCTAAAGGAATTCTTATAGGATAATTTATAACCATAAACACTTAAAATAAAATAAAGAAAAGAAAGACCGAAAGGAAATGATTTAGCTTTCCCAACATGGCAAGCTAATTCTTAAACTCCTGTGATAATTCAAAAGGCAAAAAAGAGTCAGGGTAGTGTTAAAGAAAAAACAAGGCAGAAGGACTAAAACACCAAATATCAAACTAAGTAATAACACACAATTAAAGTTCATAAGTAGACCATGGTTACCCAATTCACAACAAAGGCTACACTCTACTACCGTGGGGAAAGCACAGTCTTTTTAATACACAGTGTTGGGTGGACTGGATATAGATATGTGAAAGCAAGTTTCTATCAAACCCCTCCTCCTCCAGCAATGCTACTCCGGGGGCAGACACTGACCAGGAAGGAAAAAAAAGCACACCACAAAACAGTTTTTTTCACGCACATGCACACATGCTAAGTACATGGCACAAAAGTATTCACAGAGGTTTTATTCATAGTAGTCACAGAAAATGAACCTATTCAGATGCCTATTTACAGTGCATAAGATAAATTGAGTTATATTTACAGAATGTGATACAAACACTAATGAACATAATCTATAAACACATGGAACAATATGGATGAATTACACAATAATAATATTGAGGGGGAAAACCTCACACATGAAAGACTACTAACCCATGTGATTTCATTCATAGAAAGTCCCAGGGCAGACAAAGTCAATCTGGGCTGTCAGAGCTCAGGACAGGGGTCAGTCCCCTTGTCGGCAGTGTACAGAGGGGAGGGGGCACATGGGCAAGTCCTGGGTCTTGGTGCCAGTTGCCCAGATTGGTTCAATGTGTTAAAATTCATCAAACTTTACGCTATCAGGATGTTATATTGTGCAATGTGCATTGATTGTACATTAAGAGTATATATACCTTTCTATATGTATATTAGACTTCCATAAGAGGTCATAAAAATATAAATATGTGTTTACTTATGCTTCCGAATGGTTCTTTCCATATTTTAAGAATATCAATTTTTACTCTGTGTATGAAGAAGCCCAATTAGAAAAAAGAAAAAAAAAAGAAAAAAATGTAATTTTTAAATAAATGTTTACCAGTGATTCTTATTCAGGGGATATTTATCCCCAAAAGGAATATTTGGCAATATCTAAAGTTATTTTTAAAATTTTCTCTACCACAGAGGGACAGGGGAGATGTGAATTAGTATCTAATGGTGAAGGCCAATGATATGGCTCATCACAGACAATGTACACAATGGCTCCTAGAAATAAAGTATTTGCCCCAAAATGCCAATGACACCAAGGGCGAGAAACTCTGAGTTAAACAACATGCTTTTTATTAAATGTGTGTTTAGTAAACGATGAGGCTTTCCTTAGCTCCACTCTGTTGCTGATGGGAATTCCCGGGATGCAATCTTTTTTGAGACTCAGTGGATGTCACATGCTTCTTGCCATATGTTTCTTGACGAAAATCTTGCCTCCCCTCAGCTTTTAATTCCCCAAATATTAATTAACCTTCTCAACTGCAAGTTAATCTCAAATATGCATTAACACCGCATTTCCTTGTCTCCTTTCCCTGACCCGACTTTATCTGCTAGAAGCTTACCCTTTTCCTCAGGCCCAAATGAAAGTCAGATTGAGGAGCCAAACAAGCAACATTTTGTTCAAAACAAGGTAAATAGCATGGAGGCGTTTCTCCGGTATCAGCCACTTACAGTACCATCATCTCCTCAAACTGCACGCCCGGGTCTGGTTGTTGTCCCTTGCAGTCCCCTTGCCTGAACCCCAAGAATAAGCCAGAGGGCCTGTGGACTGATGCTTTGAAAGAAAAAAAAAATGGCCCTATCCACAGAAGGGGGCTGAGAAAGGTGAAAAATATCTAAGAAAAAACAAATGGAGATTAATAGCCAGTACGTTATGGTTATTATGTTCTTCTAGGTTATAAAGGCATAATATTACATAATGACATTTTCATCAATATAGCTCACTGTCACAGTGAATATCCAATTAGGACAAGACCATTAAGGAAAAAAGGAGTTTAAAACACTGGATTCTTGTGTTTTTTATTCCCACTGAGAGATCAGTCAGAATAAATATAGTATGTTGCATTTCCATTACTATAGGGAATACCATATGCAGATAAAGGTTTCAAGAGGCAAAAAAAAATAAATAAATGATTCATAATGTGTGTCAAATATTGACAGTTAATCTGCAGCAACGAATTATTTCACCCATGACACTGGAGTGGTCAAGGAAATGTGTGAGAATGTGTAAGCTTCAATTACTGGATGTGTAAGAAGGGAAAGGCTATTTTTCATCCTGAAGTATGGCAAGAAGAGTCAAATGTAGAATTTGAAGTTAAATATTCTTAAATTACTTGCAAATTTCATATTATAGTACTGGCATGCCTATAAAGAGATTTTTCTTAAAGATGACAGTAGAATATTTGATTTTTAACATTTTATCCCAATTAAATCTTTAAATTAGAAATTACTGGAATTATTAAAGAATGAGAGGATGGGGATAGAAACAATTGTAGACATTTTTTTAAAAATATATTTTATTGAATTTTCACAGAGAGGAAGGGAGAGAGATAGAGTCAGAAACATCGATGAGAGAGAGACATCGATCAGTCGCCTCCTAGGAGGCACATCCCCCACTGGGGATGTGCCCGCAACCCAGGTACATGCCCTTCACCGGAATCGAACCTGGGACCCTTCAGTCCGCAGGCCGACGCTCTACCCACTGAGCCAAACCGGTTTCGGCATAGACATTTTTTTTTAAATTTTCAATACCCAATTGCTAAGAACTCATTTCCCAAATACTAGCCTTTATCCTATTGATATGATTATATCAAACTATGCTGACATTCAGTTAATAAGAGAAATGATCAGATTTTGACATTGTGTTACTTTCCTGTGATTCAATAACTTTTGTGGTTTGAGAAACATAAATAAAATTCTGTGACCACCGAGATCAGGGAAAAAAAAACCCTAAAAACTCTTAGAGTGACACAGATAATTACACAAGCTACTAAAAATAAAAATAGCACCGGGAGATGAAATGACAACTCGTTGAAGTCCAACAACTGTCTGATCTAAAAGCAATTGTTAATGTCTGTACAACTCATTGAGAAGACATCAATATTTGTGGACTATTATTCAAGGCACTGAAAGTGATAAGAAACTAAATCACACTCTTCATCTCTTTCATTTGTAAAATCTATGGTTGCTTCAATTTAAAATATGTCATCCGGGGAAAAAGGTAAATCTAGCATTCCCATTATTTTCTTGGCTCTTTCTCCTTACAAGTTTTCATGTAAATTCAATTTTTCTTGAAGTATAAATATTATTGCATTATTTGCAGAAAAAAAATGCGCAAAGTAATTTTAAATGAAACGCACTCTCCTCACTTCCGGGGGCGGGGCGGGGGCGAGGGCGGGGGAGATGCAAGCTAAATTATAAAAAAAAAAACCAAACACTAAAATATATAATAGCATTTTTTAAAAACTAAGAGTATAATCTGATATCTAACTTGAAAGAAGCTGAAAAAGGCAAGAAACCATTCACTAAGATAGAAAAACACATCTACTATTTTTTTAAGACAAACTGAAGAATTAGTAAATATTAACCATTGTAAACAAATAAATAAAATAGCATGAAGTATCCAAAAATATCAGTAATCACAGTAAATATAAATTTAGGTATTTTGCCCATTAAAACAGTGGATATGTTTAATAGATAAATGCATATGTATGATCTTTGCCAGAGACATATTTATTTACAAAAAGAGAAAAGTGTTATTCAAGATAAGTATGACAAATTTTGATTAAAGAGATAAATTATAATTCAACCTTAATTTTTTTCAGATATGAAGTGCTTAGAACTATTTGCAGAATTTTAAAATTATAGATCTCTCAATATAGATTTATTCTCTCTCTCTCTCTCTCTCTCTCTTTCTCTCTCTCTCTCTCTCATTTTTATACCTTATGTTTTCTTTATCCATCTGCCCCTCCTAATATACACATTTCTCCATGGAAATTAGCCAACCATAGTTTAAAGTACTTCTGTTAGCTAGAAATATCAATGACAATGTCTATAATTGATGGACCAAAGCCAGATCTTCGATTATCACACTACAGCTACTGTTTGGCTGATCTTTGATTATCACACTACAGCTACTCTCTGTATGATCTTTGATTATCACACTACAGCTACTGTTTGGCTCCAATGTCATTCCTGAGCTTTGCTTTTATTGTTGCTTTCTTATTTGATTTTGACACATATGGGAAAACTGAAATTTCCCCTCTTTATCAGGCACTAAAGTGAAATTATTATTAAGGGGAGTGATTTCCCTTATAAAATTGTTAACAGAAAATCCCTTCATTTCTTTAAAAAGTGATAGTATCTTTGCCGGGCTAAAAATAACTCATTGATCTGAGGAAGATTTACATAGGCAGTGAAAACCATTATTTCCCCCAAGGTTATCTAGATGATAGCTGCTTTATTGTTTCCTGGCAACAGAACACTCCCAAAGTGCTATAGCAAACACTTCAGGTGTTAAATAAACTGTTAACTGCTGTTCTACTGCTGATTTCTAGATGCTCTTCACTGTAGTGACAGGATGTATGCTATCATCTATAGGAAAGTCTGCTGAGAGATCACTAATAGTGAGTCATTGCATTGTTCTCTTTCTCATTACTGTATCTTGTTATCTGTTGCTGTAAACACATGCACACATTCTGATGGTCTATCTCAAACAGTAAAGCAAAATGTTTTAAAAATATGCATCTGCTTTGTAATACTGAGTGCCTCATCAATGATGCAAGTATGTAACCAAGAGGAAGCAAGCTGAGAGCATTCAATTCTCAACATCTCCTGTGTTATGATGAAACGAAAATGGAATCCTAAGAGGTTGAGTAATAATACATGCAGCCTCGCCATTCTATTTACATATTTTCTAGAGGGTCTCCAGAAGTGTTAATACCTTCGTACATTTTCTGCTTATTTTCCTTAACAAAAACTATATACACATTTTTTAAACTAAAAGTGAAAATGTCACTAAGTGTTTGCAGACGATAAATGCATCTTCCAAATGTACTGATGGCTTATTTCTACAATTCCAAAGACATTTCATTACATCCTAACCTCTTGATACAATACGTAACTATTGAGGTTTTCATCAGTAGATGTTCTAAACCTAGCGATTTCCAGGGTAGTTAAGTCAAATCTCTAGCATTTAATAGATCAGTCTAGTTAGAGGACTAGAATTCCAAAACCTCTCCACCATCCACACCAATAACACTGATATATTTTTTCACCTCTATACTTGCTGCATATTCATCAGAATATGTATTCACATTTAACCCAATAATATATATATTTGATTGTTACGTGCCCATATATGCCCAATTTTCATGAGACAGTGTTGTAATGTACCCGGCGAATCACACAAGGACGCCTCAAGAAGTTGAATTAAGGAGTCACATTTATTGCAAATCCGGGACTACAAGGGGGCATTTTGCTCTCCAAATCTCTTAGTAATTACATAGCCCAGCAGTTTACAGAAGTAGAATTGAATGAGTTAGTTAAATTATAGTTTTGGGTCTCCAAATCACTGAATCAATGGAAACACATTGCCTGGAGCCATGGGTCTTGGGACCACTGAATTGACAGAAGCACATTATCTGGAGCCCTCGGGTCTTGGGACCACTGAGTCAACTGGATCGCATTATCTGTAGCCACTGAGGCCATTTAGGATAATTGTGCTGTCCTGGTTCCCAGGGATAGAAGAATATGCTTTCTAAAATCAGTATGACCACAATCAATGGGGTATTCACATTACAATCAATAAGGTATTCAATTGAATGGGATGATTTATATAATTCAGAAAATCAAAATAACTTTTCTATTATTTTAGCAAGCAAATAATGACAGAAGCCAAGTCAGGAGGGTTAAAATATTAAACATGTACCCAAACATGGTTGCTACCGTGCTTCAACGGGAACTTAGTTGTGATAACCTTCCTTTATGAAATTGTTTTCAGAAGTTCCAGCTAACCACTTTCTTGATAATCCAATGATAAAGTGAATTTAAAATGGGGCAAATTTTGTTTTGGTACACCATAGTCACATTCATTTGGCTTAACTCTAATTCTAACTCTAATGTGATCATAGTCAAATTCATTTGGCTTAACTCAGGCCCGTTGAGACTCATAGTGATAATGTCACCTCAAGCAACCCTTTGTCTTCTCACATTTTATCACAAAGCTTTTTTTTTTAAACCATAAAAACTTGTTCATCTCAGAAAAGCACAGGTTGGTACTATGTGGAACTTGTCCTGAGGAACAATTATTTTTAAAAACAATATGTTTTTATTAATTTCAGAGAGAAAGGAAGAGGGAGAGAGATAGAAACATCAACGATGACAGTGAATCACTGATCAGTTGCCTCCTGCATGCCCACACTGGGGATTGAGCTTCAACCCAGGCATGAGCCCTGACCAGGAATTGAACTGGTTCATAAGTAGATGCTCAACCACTGAACCACACTGGCAAGACAAGGCATGATTCTTTAATTAATGGATGCCAGCAGTAGGTGAAATGTTCCAGGATTCTGTCCTTGCATGGATAAAAAGGGGAGATTTTCAGCACCATTCTCCAGCAACACAGCAGAATGGGACCCCTAGCCAATAACAGTGACCTTAAGTTGAACAATTATATCGGCATTGCTTGTTTACTCTTTTCTAGCATTGCCTAGATCTAAATAGTCTGCCAACATCTCCAAATCTTGTCTTAATCTCTGCTCTGACAACAGAGTTAAAGCGTAGTTAGTTTTTTAGATCTGGAATTTATTCTTGACTTAACTATTGCAGAATTCATGATTGCTTTCTAAATTTTTGATTCATGTGTAGATTTTTATTAAATGTGAAATAATATTAGTATTTGTCAAATATTAATAATGAAGATCATAGGGAAAATTCAAATAACATTAAGTCATGTTAAATTTTTATAATCTCAATGTGGGTTACTATTTGCTAAAATTTTTTGCCAGCCTTAAGTGAAATGGTTTTCCATGCAATATGAATTTGGTTCATAAGAAACCAAAATCAGTATAGCAATTGAACAGAAGGGCATTGAAGATTTCCTACTTTATAGCTTGACATTTAAATTGGAAGCTACAGGTTTCCATTTTAAATCGAGAGGGTTTATGTGTGTGTGTGTGTGATCAATCCCTATATTTTAATAAAACCTAAATGACATTAGAAAAGAATAAACTAAAAAGGTCTTCAGTATCATCAAATAGTTTCAGAGCTAACATTATGTATCATGATCCAAACAAATAATTTTCTCTAATATAAATGTGCTCTCACAGCTTCCAGTCATTATTGAGAGATGGTAGCAAAATTTGTATGCCTTAAATAACGTAGTCTTCAATATTTTTAATTTGAGCATTATTAGAAAGAGGCATGTCACTTTATTTTGTTTTTATTTTTTCAGGCAACTTGGAGAAGTGACCATATTCATCCACATGGAATTTCATGACCTAATTTGTTCTTTATATGATGCAAGTGAAGCATGAAACTTTATGTAATATTAACTGGGTACTTTCTCTATTGAAACTCTATACAAATAAAGAAAATGGAATATTTTTATAGTACACAATTCGGGAACCTTTTACCTAAAATTGGATTTGGAAATTAAGTTCTGCAATGCCCGAGCAAGTCACTTCTCTATAGTCATAGTACCATAGTCGTCACGTTTATACACACGATGACTAGCAAGTTTTAAAACTTTTGCAACTTCTGTATTACTTGCATACGTCATTTGAGTAGCATTTTCACACAATCTTTCCTAGCTATGTAAGTTTGTAATTCAGGTCTCTTCATGTCAAACTCTAAAAGCAGTCTATTAAATATGTGAAAACACATTCTTATTTAAATATTTCAAGTTGGGTATGGAGACAAATGGTCTTCAAATTCGTTAGTAAACAGTTCTCTACGTCCTCTTCATGCTTTGTGAGCAGAAACAATGCCTATCTTTGGTTTGGGCTATCATTTCAAGGATGTGGACAATATATATAATATCCCCCAATAGAGCGAATAATAGGCTTGTTTACTGTCACATAAAATAAAGATAACACCTCCTTAGGGGACAATTCATGCAGGCTAACAGCCTGGTAAGGTTACTTTATGTATCAACTTGAGTAAGCCACGGGGTGCCCAGATATTTGGTCCAACATTATTCTGGATGTGCCTGTGAGGCTGTTTGTGGCTAAGACTGACATTTGAATCAGCAGATTGCCCTCCCACGTGGGGGTGAAACCTCATCCAACCGGAGGCCAGAACAGAACAAAATGATTGATTCTTCTGAAAGTAAGAGAGCATCCCTCCTGCCCCAAAACCTTCAAGCTGGAACATTGCCTTTTTGCTTGCCTTTACACTTGAACCTTGGGATTTCTCTCCTGACATTCTCTTCCCCGTGTGTGCAGATATCAGTTAATCCTCTCCATGTCTTGCTTAAGGAATTGGAACTTGAGGAGCTGGTACGAATGCTGATACCATGCCTATTGCTGTGCAGTGGTAATAAAGTCATTTGTCTCTGACTTAGAATTCCCGTGTCTTCTGTCAGTATTCATGATATTTTAGAAGCAAACTTGTTAGTTTGCAGGTATGGAAAACGATGTAGACTCCTTCAGACATCGTGATAAAATTTTACTTGGAATGCCCACTTCTATAATAACATTAAGAAATAGAATCAAAATACCCATTCCCAGCTTATGTACATATATGCAACACGTCATCACTATTCTGCAACCAAAAGTTTTACATTTGAACTTGACATTTTTATAATTTCTACTAGAGGCCCAGTGCACAAAATTTGTTCACAAAATTTGTGCAAGGGTGGGGTCCCTAGGCCTGGCCAGGGATAAGGGCCGATCAGGTTCTCCACCTCTTTGCCTCCTCCTTCCCTCATCCCCTGTGCACCACCACCCACCCCCGATTCCCTGTCCCTGCCCTGGGTCAGGTTCTCCACCTCCTTGCCTCCTCCTTCCCTCATCCCTTGTGCACCGCCACCCACCCCCGATTCCCTGTCCCTGCCCTGGGGGCCTGGCCCTGATTGGGGCCTGCCAGCTGCGGGGAGGGCCCAGGAGGTTGGCTACACTGTATTACAAGATTCTATCAGATCCCCCCCTGCAAACCAAGAACAAATACATAAAATCATTAATTTGGAAAAAAAAAAAAACTCACTGGTTGAGCTTTGACCTATGAACCAGGAGGTCATGGTTCAATTCCTGGTCAGGGCACATGCCCAGTTTTCAGGCTCAATCCCAAGTGTGGGGCTTGAAGGAGGCAGCCAATCAATGATTCTCTCTCATTACTGATGTTTCTAGCTCTCTCTCCCCCTCTCCTTTCCTCTTTGAAATCAATAAAAAAGATATTAAAAAAATAATGACTCTTATTTTTAAAACTTTATTTTATTTAAAAATTTAGAACATCTTTAGATTTAAATGATTATTGTAAAGACTGTATACACAGTTCTTGGGTAATCAATGCCATTTCCCCTATCATAATCTCTTAAATGATTGTGATAAATTTGTCATAATTAATAAAACAATATTGCTACATTGTTACCTTATTGATAACTAAAGTCCATACTTTATTCAAATTTCCTCAGCTTTTCCCTTAATTTCTCTTTTTTTTCTTCTTTGGGATACCAACAAAGATAGCACATTACATTACATTTAGTAGTACTGTGGCCTTAATCTCTTCTTGGTTGTGACAATTTCTTAGGAGCTTTTCTTGGCAGTGTTTTTGTGTGTTTATTTTAAATAACCTTGATGACTAATATATTACTCATAAAATATTCCTGAGTTGGGATTTGTCTATGTTTTCATCATGATTAATCTTTATGCAGTGCATTTATCAATGGCCATCCAAAGATTTCAGGTCTTAACCACTGGAACCTGTAAATGTCACCTTATAAAGAAAAACATTTTTGCAGATATGACCAAGTGAATGATCTTGACATGGAAAAATTATCTCAGCTTTCTTTTACTGATAAGAAAAACTCACCAAAATGTATTAATAAACAGAATGATCAAGTTTCAAATATTTTATAAAGAGTACTACTTTATTTTTTTTAAAGGTAGATGGATGAAAACTATAATTTTCTTGTTATATTTAAGAAAAATAAAAATAATAAATATCACACACGTGGGAGTGAGTGAGCAGGTTAGGAGAGTGAGAGGAGAGCATAGGGCCATCACTCCTGTATTCATTCTCTTGTTGGAATTGTGGCATAAATTATGCTTGTATTCAGGAAAGCATATTATTGTTTCAGAGAAATATCCACAATAGAAAGTAGCCAAAGAACAATGGTAGACATTTATTGAACTTGACCAAGAGCCAAGTGTTGCTCCAGATGTTTGGGGCACAATTATATAAAAAAAAATGGGGAGAAGAAAGATTAGGTCTTTTGGGATCAGGGTTTTCTTATAATTAATTTATGCTTTCTTCATATTTTAAAATCTTTTTAGCCAATATGTTTAAATCTTTTTCCCCCATTTTATTACAGAGTTTCAAAAATAAAAAAGAAAACCCACCTTTAAACTAGTTATTCATATGATGAAATGTTTTGAGAGGCTGGGTCTAGTGATTGCCTCTGTGTGCTATTTATGGTCATTCTTTATTACTCTAAATAAAACAATGGTTAGGTTTGATTTTTATTAAAGAGATGTTCTCTCCTTTCCCTCATGTGTGGCTCAGCTTCCCAAGTTTGCATTGACAAGAATGAGAAATATTTCTCACTGACACATCATGCACCTGAAAAATTCAATGAGGAGTGATGATCCTGAATTTTAATGAGTGGCTTTCTATTTTCCATGGACCATCTATACAT